TTTAGGATCTTGGCTATGTACACTTTAAAAAATATCAGAATACTTTAAAGTAAATAACACATGTACCTATTTACACAAACTGCTTGGTGTACTACAATACACACCTAAATTGGAAGATCCGGGCAGAACATTACACGGGGTTTCCCCCAAACATTGCGATAAAAATAACTTATGTTTTAAATTTGAATTCCATGTACACAACATATTTACACTAAAAACATGATTTAATACATTTTGTGCAGCATAATTACACAATGCTTTAGTTTCTTCAGTTACATTAAACAAGCTTAAAATTACTAAGATTGTTAATCGTCAGCTACTTACCTTTAAAAGACTATCAATTGAATTTTGACTCTGCACCTTCGTATTGAAACCACCAAGACGTCAAAGTCTATAATTCTTGTACATACATTCGTATTTCCACCTAATGAACTTACATGTGTAGTTACGTAACTGATATGCACACGTGATACATGTTTCGGTATTTACATTATTATCTTACTTTCTATCTCCCGAGATCAAAAGAAAGATATGCAAGCAAAAATCAATCAATCAATTCGAACTGAAACCGAACGATCATTCCTGTCACGAACAAGGACATTACCTTTACTCTGTTGCTTCTGCGTTACCTGTACTGATCAAACACACTATAATGATTTAAAATCTATGACACATGAATTTATTTTAATTGATTTCAATTCAAAATCCTATTTTAATATTAGAAAAATGTTAGATAGCGGTATATTATTAATTCGAATACCAGTATAAGAAAAAATACATGAAGTATCCAATAGAGGAAGGGGAGGATACAATTGAGGTACTACGCAGTTTTGTTATTCATTAACTGACTAAGAATTGAAAACACTGGTTAATCACCCAGCATGTTGTAGGTCAGCAGGACGCTCTTCAGTGGTCGTCGTAAATTTCAGTATAGTATTGTTTGCTATCAACGAATTGAAATTTATTTCGAAAATAAAAAAAATACAAATAATAGGGATATTCAAATTTAGCATGTGACGTTTTATGTCTCATATTTGTTTTTCGTTATTTGTTTTGCTATAAATTACGCCGTTAGTTTTCTCAATTGAACTTTTTTATATTTTAATGTCGTTGCCTTTTATAGCTGACTATAGCCAGTATGGGTATTGCTCATTGTTGAAGGCCGTACGGTTGCCTATAATTGCTTACATCAACTTTATTTGAACTTTGGTGGATAGTTGTCTCATTGGCAATCATACCTCATCTCCTTTTTTTATATAGTGTATTATTTGATTATATAACTTCACAACAATCACTTGCCAAAAGTTAATTTCAAATATATAGGAATAATTTGCGTCTGCATCAAGGAATATAAATATTGAGTAATTAGGTGTAAAAAGATTGCCAGCAAGACAACAATACACATAATGTACGTCGTGCACCATTTTTGACAACCTCACGTGTACCAGTTGACCACCCCTTTGGATCCGCCTCTGATATGACATGCAAAACATCAGAACTAACAAGTCCTTAAAAATGTCTCGACTCATCAGATCGGCGTGTATATAGAACAAATAAACTTTAGTTAACAAGAATATGGACACAAAGTACCAAAGCATATATCATTATAACATTCTTATATTTTTTAGTCAGAGAAAAGACATTATTAGACAGCCTTATCTTTAGATTTATTCCAGAAGTAAGTGTTTTACTCTTTAACCGTCTAATAAGAGTCGTTCCCTTAAACGTGTTAAACGTGTTAGACAGGAAGTTGACTGTTGTTTGGAGAGGCAATTTTGAGAGGAAGATATGAGCTTGATAGAATTGTTGATAACTTAACCAAACACGTATAGTGTTTATGTGTTTTGATAATTATAAGAACATTATATTAAGGATCGTTCTTTTAAAATTCATAATAAACCTATTAACTTATAGCATGAATACACGAATAAATAAAGGCAACAGTTGTATACCGCTGTTCAATATCATAAATAGATTTAACAGAAACAAATCCGGGTCACAAACAAAAACCGAGGGTAATACATAACAACTATAAGAGGAAAACAACGGAACAACAGAAATACTGAACTGCTACAAAAACAAACGCCAACATACATACAAACGGACTATTTGATAACAACTGCCATATTCCTGACTTGGTACAGGAATTTCCTTATGTATAAAAATGGTGGATTAAACCTGGTTTTAAAGGTAGCTTAACCTCTCACGTGTATGACAGTCGCATTGAATTCAATTATATTGACAACAATGTGTGAGCAAAACAAACAGACATAATATGTAAAAACAGTCAACATTGTACATGTTGATATATAATCTTAATCACTATAAAAACAAATAACTGTTTCAACAAAGAAACACAAATGGCATATAGACAAAGTATATAAGCAAACATTAAAGACAAGAATTCAAAATTGACCATAGCACAATAACCAAATGGCGGGATGTATAAGTTCCAAGCCACGTCATAAGTATATAACCAAAAATGAACTAAACAGTAAAAGGTAAAAAATATACAAGGACAAAACAAAAAGGAAAACTTTAACGTCAAAAGAGTTCCAATTTCACAACAATATCCATCTATTTGTGAATTCAATCAAAATTTGAAAAACGTATTTCATTATGATGTCAATGTTGACATTGAGAAAAAAATAGAACAAATGAATATTTAAGCAGATACTTTAGCTATGCATAGGCTACATGTACGCCAAGCACTGGAATTTAATGTCTTAGGTAAACAAAATTTGTCACACAGATTATATATATGATGTCATAAATTTATGTAATAATGATAATACATTACATGTTTCATTTGTATGAAACATTACTTTTATTAAATAAAAATACAATGAGTACATGTGGTTTAACTGATGTTTTTAATTTTAATGTAAAGTTCATATCATATGAGTGAAAATAATTTTAATAATATATTTCAAAAAAGAAAGGAGAACGATACAACAGAGATAGTCAAATTCTTAAGTTCGAAAAACGTACAACGCCATGAGAACTCCTTGACAGTAATACACACGATTAACCTTGAACGTTAGCGACCTATTTTTTTTTTTTTTTTGCACACAACGTTATCGTGTGACTTGGCGTTTTAAAAGGGAATTTCCCATGATAAAATGATTATGATTTGAATTCGAATTCATCAACTGAAAGCATAAGGTGAATACTTTCGACATACGAACACCTATTACAAAAAAAAAACGTTTAAAATATTTACTGTGCCTGTATTTATTGTATTGTTCTTTAATAATGTTAATTGATTTAATCATGATAATGCCATGGCGGTCAAGTAACATAAAACTTTCAGGTCAGGCCGGGTACATTGAAATAATGGATAATTAAAAACAAGAAATCCAATAATGTGTAGTCTTGTTGTTAAGGAAATATACAAGTAAATTCACTAATCTATGATTTATTAAAATTCCATTCCAGGAAATTATTTACATTATATACAGTTTACAAAATGCATAGTTCAAAGATTCGTTGGTACATTACTTTCACACGGCATCACAAACGGATTTCATTACATTCCGTATAAAAATAAGCAACAGTGTCCAATACTGTGCACACAAAAAAAAAACACGCATAGTGTCCAATACAATGCGGACAAAACCACGCAACAGTGTCGAATACTGTGCGGACAAAAACCACGCATCAGTGTCCAATACTGAGCGGACAAAAAAAACCACGCATCAAGTCCAATACTGAGCGGACAAAAAACCACGCAACAGTGTCCAATACTGTGCGGACAAAATACAAAGAAATAATACTAATTCCGAATCTATCAGTGATCTCTCAAGATGTACCTAGAATAACAAAAATCTGAACCTTATAACAACAATCCCACCAGGCATTTCAACGTTGTTTCAACGTTGAAATAACGTCGACTTTCAACGTTGAAATGACGTTGATTTAACTGTTGATTTTGAAAGTTGAGATGACGTTGAAAAGGTGACGTTGAAACAACGTCATATTTCGACGTTGAAACAATGTTGATTTTTGGTTGAGAATAGGTTGAAAGGTTGACGTTGAAACAACATCATATTTCAACGTTGAAATAAGGTTGATTTTTGGTTGACAATATGTAAATAACAATTATTTCAAGGTTTCAACAAGGCTGATTTTTGGTAGACTGACTAAAATTGAATAATCGATGAAAAGGAAAACAGTTGATTAAGGTGAACAGTATAAATTAGATGTGGTATGAATGCTAATGAGACTAACTTTCCATCCAAGTCACAACTTTGTTAATGTAAGCAATTATAGGTTAATAATTGCCTTCAACAGGGAAAGACGTCTTGGCTCACACAACAGAAAGCTATCAAGGCAAAAATATCAGTGTTAAACAATGCAAACAGGAAAACCAAGAGTCTCATCTATATATAAAATGAGAAATAAAAAAATACCTATTACAGCCATCGGACTTAAAGTGTAGGTAAAACCAAACTGTTTGATTAGCTTCCATGCTACATGAACCACAAAGTCATTATTAGCTCATGTACACCTTCCAAATATGGAATGAGTCTTGCATGTGGATTCTAAATAGGTAAAACTGTAGTACAATGTTTATGTTTACACTTTTTTATTGGTTCTCTGACTGACTAGACTCCGCCCAAAGGAGGTATTAATCCGAGCTAGTAATGACTTCACGGTTCAGCTAGCAAAGAAACTACTGTAGATACTCGCTTATAAGTCAATCTGCCTATAAGTCGGATGCCCTTTTCAGTTTGAAAATCTGAGGATTCAGGCTTGACCCGCCTATAAGTCGGTCTGAATTGAGGTTATTTATTTTAAGCAGCAAACAGTAATTTATCGTCGGTAAATCAAGTTTTGAGTATTTTTCTGTAACTGTAGTTACACACAGAAATAGTGAACTGATAAAATAAGTTCTTTCAGAATTTCACTGATGTCTGCTCTAATTTTGGACACCTTTCTTGATTGAAGTAAGTGAAATGAATGCAATAAATTTGTTTAAAATTGAATTTATTTTTGTAATTTGGATTAATCTTTGCTGGTCCTTCCCCCTCCTCCAGCTCTCTCGGGGGCATATTTTAAAAACTTCCCAATATCTTCCTTTACTTTAGTTTCTGTGATCTCAGGATACACCATCATTACGCATCCTGTAAACACATATACATCATGGTAAGTCTTAAAATATGTATACTTCAAATCAATTATTGTGAACAGTGTCATTTGCCAAAACTTTGCACACTCAATAAAATATAAATAACACACCAAGTACTTTGCAGAAAATGGAGGGTTGATGCAAATAAAGCTTACTGTAAGGCTTCTAGTGAAGTTTAGAATTAGTTGGTAAAAAAAAACATACATTGAGTAAAATAAATGAAAAATATCATTGTTTATAATTTATATTCCTTGCAATAAATTTATAACAATTTCTAGATAGAAATATGCCACCAGGCTGAAAACATTTTGTTGAAATTTCAATTTGTTTCTATACAGGTCACATTCAAAGCACCCATCAAGTCCCTAAGAGCCTGAAATTGCTAACCCTTCTATCATCACATACTTATTTACACTTATTTATCAAAAATAAGAAGCCCAAATTACAATTCAAATAATATTCCTTGGAGTTTGTAAGTAAGCTTGCAACTAATTTCATTTTTGATTGATATCAATGCTAAAAAAATCCTGTTCAACAACATAAACTAATTACTTGAATAAAGTGAATATTTTTTTTATTTTCTCTTTAATTTATATATAAAATAATCAAATTATATCAAAAAGATAATATAAAATATATATATAAATGCTAGATAATAGATCATCTTTACAAAACTTTTACCTTCCATGGTGGCAATTTTTAATTTTGAATTGGCACCTGTTCAAAGTCTAGTTTCAATCCATTGAATGCATGGTTTTTTTAAAGTTTTTTTTCAAAAGTTCAGCAAATCAAAATGTCTATAAATTAATAATGTTGTCATGTTTATTGATTTATCAAAGCTTACCTGAGATCACTTTGTAAAGCTTTGTTTTTAGGAAAGCTATCTTATTCTTTTTCCCTTTTAGGTTCATTCTTGCCATGACAATGTTTGACATCATTCTGGAACACAAAATATAAATCTGATACAATATGACCACTTAATTTCAACCTAGTTCATTTTCTTAGGATTGAAGTTTAAATATTTGAATACAGGTTTCTACTGCTAATAAAAACAAGTGGACACAGATGAGTGTGGATAGTATTATGCATTATAAGAGTATTGCATAAAACTATGAGTTAACTCACTAAGGATACCCCCATCCCGTTATGCCACATATTGTGATACTTAAATTAAGTAATTGCAATTTCTCCCTTGAAAAAAATCAGATCAGAAATATCCTCCATCATGCACATCTTCGGGTTGTGTACAACAACTGTGTAAAGTTTCATCAATATTGATTAATTTGTTAGTAGTTGTGCTTACAAGACTTGTTGCCATTTATTGCAATATTAACTAAGTAAAATCAATTATCTCCCTTGAAATTCTGACAAGAAATATTTATCATATATATCCCCTAAATTTTGTTTTTTCAGGGTATAAAAAAAACAAAATTTGCATACATATTAAAAGTGAATATGCAGTTTCAATATCTAACTACATTAAAATAAAATACCCAGTATAACATTTTTTCTTCAACCTGGTTACAAAATATGTCAAAATAAAAGACAATTAAGGAAGTGCAATTGACCATTCTATTGAAAGGTTGATATTTCTTTCTTTTCAATATTAACTAAACTTGCTAAGCTCATACATAACAAATGCCAGTTAAGGGGCAAATTGAAGTTCAAAGTAATATGAATTTAAACAAGTGAATTATTCAGTTTCAATTGAGTAATACATTTAGAGAATTTATTAGCTCATTATGACAAAATGTAAACCAAACTGACTGCTAATAGCGAAATATTATTTTAAAATTCCACATAAATGTTTGCAAAAAAAAAAATCATTTAATTTTTATAAACTCCAAAGCTAGTGCCCCTTAAACACAATGAATTACTTTTTCAACTGGCATTAACAGAATTATTTAATCTTTTCGACAGACTTTTGTAAATAAATTGTAGTCTCTTTCAACTTACCTTGTCATGGCTTTCTTCATTAGGTCACTGCTTCCAGCACCTCCAATTCTTCTCAAATATTCTGTCTATAAACAAAAATGGTTTTTGTATACTTGTATGCATTGACTGAAATTAACAATGACCCTTCAAAACAACAAATGTGTCTGTGAGAAATTAAAATTCTTTATGTGCTTATTTTTCCGAAAAATCATCATTGTTAATATGTATCACTTTCCTGTGCAAAGCATAATTTTCATCTGAAACTAATAAAAACAAATAAAATAATTTAAAGGAGAATCATTGTAAAAATGTCTAGTTTCAAAAGAATCATTATCAAGCATGTATTCTGATAATTATGTTTAAATATTATATGTCAGAACAAAACATTATATTTATAAAAAAACATAAACTGTAATATAAAACTAACCAATCTTGTCTGCTGAGCTACATCATCCAAGGCATTTTCCAATTCAAAAAATTCTTCTAAGGTTTCCGCCCTTTCAAGTTCACAGTGTGTCTGTGCAGTTGTGGCACACTGATTTTTTTTCAGCAGGTCTCTTGTTTCTGTTAGTAAAAACAATACTCTTCTCTGGAAACCTAAAATGATAAAACCAATCTATGATTAATGCAACATTACAATGCCTTGTCTTAAATACCCAGTATATTCAATACATATATATAGTAAGGGTGTAAATGTGACATGTATTATATGTAAACAAGAATGTGTCCATAGTACAGGGATGCCCCACTCGCACTATCATTTTCTATGTTCAGTGGACCGTGAAATTGGGGTCAAAACCCTTATTTGGCATTTAAATTAAAAATATATCATAGGGAACATTTGTACAAAGTTTCAAGTTGATTGGACTTCAACTTCATCAAAAACTACCTTGACCAAAAACTTTAACCTGACACAGGACAGACAGATGAACAGACAAACGGACGCACAGACTAGAAAACATAATGCCCCTCTACTATCGTAGGTGGGGCATAAAAACAATTTCTATGCAGAAAGCTCTCATAAGAAAAAAATTAGTATTTTCAAAACCTTTCCTTAATAAATATCAAAATAAAACTGAAACATCTAGGGTTAACCAACAATTGAAGTAGTAGTTGTGTGGTGCAGGTAAAAATCAAAATAGTAAGGCATGTTGAAGGTATTTCCTAGTGTTTGATTCAAAATTTTGTGTGATATCATTTTGAAATGCAGATGTAAATTTACACTTACGTTCATCAAACATTGGAAATGTCTCTGAATTGTTACTCGTCTTTCTGCCAGATGGTATATTTTTTGCAGCTGGTGTTGAAGTATTTTCCCTGACATGAGACCTTGAGCTTATGTTGCTGCTGAATGACTGCCAATCCTCTAGTGGTGATCTAGACCTTGCTCTGTTGTTGTTGGTAGAAACTCTCTGTGGTTGAGATTGTGAGCTTGGCAGTAGATAATCCTCAAGAGGTGAGGAAGATCTAGACCCTTGACTGTTCCCTGTTGAATGTGACCTATCTTCACTAGATTTTGATTTCTGAGTATAGAGACTATTTGAGGATCTTTTTTTCAATTCTTGTAATATCTCCTCTATTGAAGGTCTTGTGGATTTTTGAGTTGTGTTTGACGGTTTTCTTTGTGATGGATTCTGTGTTGTTGGTGATCTTGTTGTGGACTTGGACGAATAGGAATAAATAGATTTTAGTTTTGAAAAAATATCTGTCGGCGGTGAATAGCTTCTTGATCTAGATCTCCATGTCTGATTGTTTGATGGAGATCTAGATCTTGACCTCTGAGATAATGGTGGGGATCTTGATCTTGATCTGGACCTCTGTGTGATAAGTGGTGATCGAGATCTTGACTTCTGACGAAATGGTGGTGATTCTTGCCTGGTAGATGGTCTTGTTGTGGACTTCAATGTATTTGTAGACTTCAATTTTTTTGATGGCGATCTAGACTCTCTGTGGTTAGAAGTCTGACTGGAACTCAATTTTTGATGGCGATCTAGAATCTCTGTGGTTAGAAGTCTGACTGGAACTCTTCTTCTCTGTAACTATGGAGTTAAAAAGAAGGCAAACAATTATTTCTTTTTCCATTGAAAGCAATCATATAACAAAAGCACATAAAAAAAGACAACAGGAACAGTTTACGTCATAAATAACATTTTCTATTAAAATTCATCGAAACATGCCTTTTTCTCCTAAAAAGCAGCCTTCACAAAAAAAATTTTAAGATTATTTCCTGCTCCGAGGTTGCCACTAGTCCTATGAACCATACTAGTAAATATTGATTTGGACTAGTACCAATTTCCAAAATTTAATATAGGCATATAGGGACAAATTTTGATATTTAGATTTCGTACAAGTAGATGAAAAAGTTTTTGGCACAGACTGTGATAATATAAGGCAACACCAAACAGTAGTTTTTTTAAAGGTGGCCCCGTATGGATACAAACATGTACAGTGAAACCTGACTAAACCGAACCCTGACTAAACCGAAAACCTGTCTAAAACAAACTTGTTCTGAAGACCAATCATATCACATTTTATGCATTATGAACCTGATTAAACCGAATACCTGCCAAAACCGAACAACATATCAAGTCCCAAAGAGGTTCGGTTTAGTCAGCTTTCACTGTACCCTTAAAATGGTTTATTCAACAGGCTTATTCTACTAAAGGGCCACCAATTTATTTTTGGTAAACAGAAGTAATTTTGATTGAAAATTTAACAACTTCATATTTATTGATACCCAGATCAGTTTTCATAAAGATAATTTGAAAGCAATGGACTCATTAGACAGCATACTTCCACAAAAAAGTAAACACAATCCTCTAGGCATCATTTTGAATAATCTATTCGTTTAATAATACACCTTTTTTATCTCTGGTGGCAACCAATATTTCACAGGAGTTAACAAAAAAATTTAGTTCAATGTATATTTTAATTAAAGCTATTTATCAAACTCACCCAATTCTTTGCACTGTGCGTTTCTTTCAATTAACTTTGTGGGAGGCTTCGGCATTGATGAAGATTTTTCTGAAATTAAGTGAATAACTTAAATTATGCTTAAAATAACATCTTGTATGGTGTGTTATTCTTTGTTGAATTGACATTAAAGGATCTTGTACATGCATGTATCATAATTACAAATGTATAACTCTATGACACAATTTAAGAAATGAAACCATACACTAAAGTTACACACATAACTACGATAGACAGTCATCAAACTTCAAATCAAATGCTTTAGACAATGATATGACAAAACCACAATTATACTGCTAGTTAAAATTAGTAAAACAGAAACCCTTGAACTGATTAAGATAACCTTGATTTTTCAATGGCTCAAGTCTCGTAAGTTTGCATGTCATGAAAGTCTAGATTTTAATTTAAAAAGCATTTTTCTTCAAACTATAACATTACTCAAGCATACATGTATATGTATATATGTACTTATAACATTTAAAGTCTTTAACTTTAACAAATATATAATCATGCACAAATTTTAAGCTGATTTTGTTTTCCTTACCTTGGTTTCTTGGAACAGTAGCTTGACTTTCACCCTTATCCTTATTTTTTCCATTTTTAGATGCTCCAACTACAATAAAAGCAGTTTTACAATGTGGTACATTTTAAATTAAACAGAAAAAAAACAGGGTTCAACATTAACTTTTCTCACAACTACTTGTTAGATAGAGCAAAAAACGTGTCTGAATATTATTTATAACATTGATTTTAAGCAGCTATTTGTTGACATAAAATAATAAATTAGGTAAAAACAAATGAATAGCGAGAGATTATTTTTTGTACCTGATTTATCAGTAGCTTTTGTGCCTTCTTCATTACCAATTTCTGAAATATATAGAAAATATGGTAAAATTATTTATAGGCAAAAAAAAAAAAACCTGGCAAAATGTTTAGGGACATCGGCTGAAATAAATGGAGTCCAAAGGTCAGCAAAACATTTTTTGTGTGATCTGCAATACAGGAAATAGCCTTTAATCTGGTTCAAAAATTTATCCAGTATTGCATTTATATCCTCTTTGAGAAAGAATGATCATATTGATCCTTATTGTTATATATATAGCAGCATCCATATATTGATTTACAGCTCCAGCACTTTTAATATGTATGATACTTAAAGTACACAAAATAAATTGGACTGACAAACACATTCTCAGCAAATGGCAGACAACTGGAAATTAAAACTAATTTATAACATCATAAGTTGAAATAATATCTTATCAATGAATAAATAATTGATGGACTTCTTAGAATGAGACACATAATTTTGCTCAGAAGAAAAACATTATTTTTTTCTCTATTAGTTAATAAGTATCAATATAAATACTGGAATTGTTTTTATTGTTCAAAAGATATTATTTGATTTATGGCGACATCTATTGGTAGAAATTTATACCTGTAATAAAGTCTTGGAACACTTTTTTCTTAAGTATCCTTTTTTTCCCATGATCACTATCAGCTTCATCAGGAGATAATTCAGCTGTAGTGGTAAAGTCATAATCTTCACATTCTTTTCTTTTGTCTGTAAATATATCAAAATATAAAGTTCAACATTTTTTAATACATAAAATTTTCCAGAAATAACCAAATGTTTAGATCAAAATAATTACAATAACAAGTAAAAAGTGCACCCATCTTTTAAAACAATTTTTTTTGCATATATAAATAGTTTGTTAGTTGTGTATTTTTTTCTATTTTGCTTCGAGTGGATCAATCCTCATGGTCTGGTATACATTAGTGTTTCCAGGCCTGCTCAAGCCCAACTCTGGGTACAGGTTTTCAAATTGGTGGTCTTGGGTTGTTTTATTTTGGTAGAGTTGTTGTCTTTTTGACATATTCCCTGTTTACATTCTTTATTCTAATATGGTTTAAATTGAAGTAGACGAACAGAAAAAAGGAAATACTTTTTTTAATGGTCCTTTCAAACATTCTGATTAAAATGTAGTGTTGGTACTTTCAGATTTATAATTGACTACTAAAATAAAAGTACATGTATAACAGTTTTTGAAAGTTTTAGGTCTACAGAAGCCACTCAATCAACACCTTAATCAGCATTGTAAAATTTTAAACAGATTAAAAAAGGACAAGAGCTTTCAGAATTGTGTTTATTTGCAAATTTGGTATATATATATGCATGATATAAATAAAATAAATTTATACTTACTAGATTTAAACTTGATTTTTACCAACTCAAACTTCATCCAGTTGTCACTTGGTTTTTTCATCTCTTTCATTAACCTTTTTACATTGGTGCCAGGTGGCCACATGATGTGTTTCTCTCCAATCCAAGAGAGTGGTAAAGTTCCCTCCTCCTCTTCACCCTGCTCCTTCCAAACAGCCAACGCCCATGTTGCTTCACTATTTTCCTATGAAAAAGTTGTAATATATGAATTAACAATAATATTGTAACCTAATGCTACAACATGCGTGAAAATGTACCATGATGCTTCATGCACTAATTTATCATGTCTGAGGATGCACAAAATTAAAATTATCACATTTTATAACATGAATTTTATTATATTTTGTTCTTTTAAAGAGGGTGTTTTTCCAACTCTCTAATGTACCTTAAATGCATTAAAAAATGTTTAATATTTCACAAAATGAATTTAGGCCCATTCTAGTATTAAAACATTCTATGTTTTACATTCAATAAACCTCTAACATGCATTTTGTAGTATTAACTTGTAAATCTATTTACACCATTACACATTAGCTTAAAATATAAATGTGTATATGTTATTGAATCTTTACCTAATGTCTCTCAATACCATGCAACATAGGCATCAACAGGTACCCTCCTTCATATGGCAAGCAAACAACTTTTCTTTCAATGTCAGTTTCTTCCACCATTTGCCTTGAAGCATATCTTTCTATGTTTTTAGCAACAGCAATGTTAATCAATTTGGAATCACATGGCTCCTTGAAAAATTGTTCAGTATATTGTGGCTTTAATATATCACAAACATATTTTTTTCCTGGGCGTCGTTCTCTGACAAAGGCGAAATTCTGATTCCAGAGAAGAAAAAAACCATCCTTTTTTTTCATGGATACATACATAAAGGTCTTACTATGAATACGACGAATATTAGACTTTTCTGCCTCTGTCAATCGCTTGACTACTTGCACATAAGGGTTTTGTCCATTTTTAACCTTCTTTTTAATCTGGTGTAAATAATTTTCAAACTGAAATGCACTCAAATCGTTGAGTGATGTATCATAGTTTTTTACGTCATCAGTAACATGGACCAATGCATGAACATTATAGGAAACAAATGTATTTCCATATAGAGTTGTGGCATTCTTCACAAAATATGTCATAAGTTCTTGGGCATAATCCAAGTAGGCATTTCTGGTTTCTTTAATTGAGTCTAAAAGAATGCTTAAGGCCACGGTCAATGTTAAAAAATGGTTGTACATAGCCCTAGAAAGAACAGACTTCAGCACTAAGGGCCCACTGTACAAGACAAACTGTCTGAATTCTGTTGCTTTCCATTTGTCCAATTCAAGAGAACGTGGCTGTCTAGCAAACTCCCTTGGCATTTTCCCACGGAGGTTTTTTAGTTTGTCTGATATCAATTTAAGTTGTTGTTGTGACAACTTGCACTCCCTTGGACCTTGCTTCAGGAACATAAGAATCCTCTTCACTACACCTAGACAAACTAAATGCATGTAGTCAAGTGGGAAGGTATTTATGCAAAACAGTCCTGCATCTATTAATGGTGAGCGTGATGTTTGATGGTTGCTGTATAGGCATGCTCTAAATTCCTCCTCAGTTCGCAATGGAGGACTGTTATCAGATGAATTAAAAACAACACGGCCATTCCACTCACCCCTAATGGTACATCTTTCACAGCTGTAGTAACCATTGTGACCTACAGTACATTTTATGAAGGACCTGGCTGAAGCATCACATATAAAAGCATTTAATTTGACGGTGTATAAAATTTCATTAAAAGTTATTCCATGCGTTTTTAAATTTTCCAACTCTCCTAAAAAATCTGACAAATAAGCCTGCACAGAATTTGGCTTGGAATTTCCACAGTATAAAGCCACTATAAAAGGTTCATATTTTGACAAACTGCATAATATAGGCCAAAACTGTGTGTTTGATGATTTAAAAAGTGGGACACCATCAATGTTAAAATCTAACAACAGCTCATTATTTCTTGTAAAATGTCTTGCGTTTTGAGTCAAAATTTTTAAAATACCACTTTCAATTCCTAAATATATATAGTCACCCTACATTTTTTATTTATATCGATATGTCGAGGAGTTTTTAACAGTGTTCTAGAATCCTTTGGAACGCGGTGTCCATATTTTCTAAAGATAAATAACAAAGAATTTAAGCCATCTCTTGATGTTTTGTTCTCAGTGGCCCATTCAGCTAAATCTTTACAAAGATCATTATTATCAGAATCAGATTGTTCATCTTCACTTGATACTCGGCTACTTCCAGAACTATCATTTTCACTACTATGTTCTTCTTCACTACTTATTTCTTCATCATTACTGCTTTCGACATTATCACTACTCGCTTCATTTTCATTGTTGCCATATTCATGATTAATATTAATGTTACTGCTCTGACTTTCAGACAATTCATGCATTATATCTGAACCTTCTTGTACAGCTGATACATGGCTTGACACACTTTCCTCATCATCACTTAGGCAAGCCAAGTTTTCTACCTCAGTGTTATACATTCTCCATCTTCTAAGATATGAGCGCTGTAAAAGGTTTGAATTTTGTTACATGCATATGTTTATACATGTTATATGTTGTGTTAAAATTCCTGAAAGTTGATCATGCATTTCGTTTGCCCTTTAATATAAATATGATAATCCATTAGGCTAGACTTTTTATTGTTTTTCAACGACATAAGCCTACCCTAAGTTTTGGAAAACCAAAATAAAATAGACTTTGTCAACTCTTATTTTTACTTTCCCTCCTACCTGCCTACCCTATGTTAAGAACCAGAAAAAAATAATCTTGAATGAGAACCGTTAGTTATTTTGCAGGTTTTTTTTTCTAATCATAATTAATTGTATTTTCATTTTTGGAACCAACTGAGCACAACTTTTGACTTTTATTTCTATTTCGCCCAAAATTTTCTCTCTTAACAAATAATAAAAAAAGTCTGGCCTTAATTAAGTCTGAAAATTATCTATTTAATTTTAATAATTGTTTCTTTGTGACATAATGTTCAGTGGCGGATCCAGAGGGGGGGGGGGGGGGGGGGGGGGGGGGTTCCGGGGGTTCGCACCCCCTTTATTTTGGCCGATCAATGCATTTGTATCGGGACATATATTTTGCACCCCCCCTTTTGAAAATTCCTGCATCCGCCCCTGATGTTTCATAGATTAGGCAAAACAAAATAGGGTATACATGTAGGCTGGGCAGAAATTTTAAAATTAATATTCTTTTTTATCAAGTTTCAGATTGATATTAGTATATATAACTGACAATTCTAAGATTATTCTTGATAAAACCATTTTGAAGATATGCTCACATTTATTTTGTCTCTTATAGATCCACACAATGATAATTTTCCAGAAGCATTTAAAATTTACAATAAAATGAAGGGGGGCTTTTGGGTACATTTTTAAGACTTGGGTAACCATTTTAATTTTGACTAATATGTGGACAATTGTTGTTATTAACATGATTAAAGGATGACTTTATAACATATTATTTTTTATATAGTTTCCTCAGAGATTTTTTTGGTTTTCTATACTCTGGCTTCAATCATAAAAGTTTCCAAAAAATACAGCAATCAAACAAAAAACTTGATATAAAAAATGGCCCATGAGGCTCTGCTGCATGCATGCATTTAGGTTTACATGCATAAGAATAGAAAACAGTGATTCTGAAGTAAAATATATAAGAGAACATAGTTTCCATGTTCCCCACGTTGCAAATAATTCATTTATCAAATGTTACAAATACAGATGGCATCACTCTTTTTAAAAAAGTCAAATGGCAACCATTTTAGAATTGTTAGAGATATTGCTGATATTATTCTATATAGAATTTGTTTTATAAAATTCTTGAAAATTTTCTATTAAAAAAAGTGATTGGTACCAAATTTTGAAGTTGTCAGAGTCATGTGAATTGTTGATATAAACCTATGACATAAGTTTCATAAAATTCTGGAAAGAATTGTACAAGTAACTATAAACAAGAGGCTCTCAAGAGCCTGAATCGCTCACCTTAAATTATTTGTTTAAATCTTTCATCAATGATTATTTTGGCTTTTTAATTTATATAAATATATTCCTGAATCTGGTCATATCTTCTTCAAAAGCAAAACAATGCATTTTACCCCTATGTTCTATTTTAGCCAATACAGGCTATGTTTCTTGACGTACAAGGAAATAAATATAAAATTTATACTAAATACTCTGAAACTCGTTTGGCTGAAATTTATTCAGCAGTTTCAAAGGAGAAGATTTTTTAAAGTAAGCTAACAAGTAAAAGAAATTAAGTAAAATATCTTTAAGTTTTAAGGGCAATAAATCCTTAAAAGGTCAATTGACAATTTTGGTATTATTGACTTATTAGTAGATCTTATTTTGCTTAACAGTTTTACTGTTTACAGTTTCTCTTTATCTATAATAATATTCAAGATAGTGATCAAAAACTGCAAAATTTCCTTAAAATAACCCCCATGTTCTATTTATAGCTATGACGGTCATGTTTGTCAATTGATCAAAACTTATACAATTTATAAAATAGATACTCTAAGGAACATTATATTAAAGTTCCATATATATATATAGCCTAGTTTGTTTATTCTATGGGGTCAAATATTTCAAAATCCTCAATAAACATGATTGTGACAAAAACATGTGACATGCATTCTCATGCAACATGCCAAATAGCAGTTATCTCCTCCCTGTAGGCTCCTCTGCAAAATGGATTCATCTCTGAAATTGAGAAACCATCACAGATGAATTTCTCTCTGCGAGTGCTATATTTGTATAATTGATTTAATTTAATACATGTATTTAATTTACAGACTTTTATTATTGATAAGATATCAACATCCAACGCTGAGTGAAGCCATGTTTTTCGAATTTATAATTTAATGCTTAAAAAAAGTAATTTTATAAACTCACAGGTAGATCTCTTCCATTTCCTTCTGCCATCCTATTTTATAATGGTATATCCAGACTACTTATAATCAAATAACCAACAGACTATAAAACCTGTAATGAAACAGTGAAAATAGTTATACATTTTTTAATCATTTATTGCTAATTTCAATGTCAGTTAGCTATATAGTTGGTAAAAAAATTTAAATAAAATTCAAACCTTTGGGTAAAAATTTACATAAATTTATAAACTGTCGATTATATATCCCTCTTAGGAGACCAAAATATCTTTTCTTGACATCTATCTGACCATGCTACATGTAGCTCCTGGAGACATTTTGTATACAATGCATAACTTCAAAGCATATACAGGTACACATGATGGTGACATCTGTAACTAAGTGTGCACCAGCCCCTATTTGTAGTTACTTATTATTTCAAACTGCCAGGATTTGAAAAAGTGTCACTTGTTGTTAAAAGCAAAATACCAAAATAATGAAACCACACCCATTAGTACATTTTTACCTTCTTAAAAAGGTTAAGAATGACCATCTGAGACAGACACCAACCTTGTGAGGACCTTGCCACCCATCATCATGAGACAGACAAAAGTAAATAGTGTATTCACTACTTCTGTCAATTACAAGTGCATGGATACAATAATGATGAATCTGACTAAATATATACAATTAACATGAATTAAATACATGTACAATAAATCTTCGATTAAGAGTCTAATTGGCACTCATACCCCATCTTCTTTTGTTCAATTTATATTATTTACATGAATTTTAAAACAGTATTTGTTCACTCAATTTTATTTGAAGTTGCCAAGATATACAAAAGCATCACTCGCTACTAAAAATAAAATACTAAGATTACCACTACTGCTATTTTGTAAGAATCAAAAAGGAAAATCAACCCAGGTTTCCATATAACATGGTGTATACACTTACAATGTACATTATTTCACTGCATTGAGTCTTGGACATGATGGATGGATTCGTTGTCTCATTGGCATCGATATATACCACTTCTTATTTTTATATGTACAGGATATTGAGTACAGTAGAAATAAAACTCTGTATTATATATCTTTATATATATTTAACGTGGTATGGGTGTGCCGCAAAACAGGGTCCCTTTTTCTTTCATGCCATGCTTTTAGAACAGGGTCCTTTTTTCATGTCCTGTTGTTAGAACAGGGACACTTTTTAAACATACAGTCTAGAACAGGATCGCTTATGTAAAATAACAGTCTAAATATCTTAAACAGGGTATAAATGTTCTGAGTGTGTCTAGAACAGGGTATGTTTTTCAATATTTTCTGGTTAGAACAGGGTCTCATTTGGCAAGTGCTATCGGCACAGTTATACCCAAAAAGATGGTCAGTAGGCCCCCCGGGTGGTGCATTCAATCTTCAACTCTGAATTTTTGTTAATGGCTTTATCTCGGCCGCACTGTAATAAAAGGGATAGAACAGACTACAATGTGATTTACTACATAAATTACATTTGTTTACAAATGCAAGAATATATGTTAATTTTTCAACTAGAGAAGTCATGGTCACTCTTCAATAATGACTACATGTAGTCATGACAGCTGTACAAGTTCCAGGTGATTTATGTTATACAGTTATATTCATTAATTTCTGAAAAAAAGTTTAGGATTCAAAACGAGGTCCTTCATCTTACTTTTTCATTTTTTTACATCATCTGGTTAGAATATATTAAGCTGGTCCTCGATCGACTACTACACTCAATGACTTAGTTCAAAGACAGCGTAAATACGAGCGTTTTATATTTTATCATATTTAGCGTGTCAAATTTTTGTTTATAAATTTACATAAAATCCTTACAAATGCGAACATACTTCCGGTTTTTTGTTCCGTGTCAAAATTCACCTCGTTTTTTAAAATTAAAACATAATTTCCATACCCAGAAGCAATCTTATCTGAATAAATATGAATTGATTTAATTACGTTTATTTAAACTGACAAATTGTGTTGGCTAATTAATAATTTCTTTGAATGTTCAGTTGATTCACCTCAAAATGTCCACCATGCAATAATATATATTTCCTGTCGCGACTAAACAGTTTATCTAACTGATGTTGAAAGAATAATATATAATTTTTAAGTATGATCAAACAAAATTTAAAGTATCCATATATTTGTAGACAAGTTAATATATACTTACAAAACTTCTAATACAATCTTCTTCTGGGTGATGTGCTGTTTTGGATTTAGGAGTGACTTGACCAACGCGCGTATGCAGAGAAATGCCGCCAAAAGCCGCGCACGCGTGCTTTCGTTCTATTTGATAATTTCCGACTATCATTTTTGTCAATATGACGATATAATTATATTGTGGACTTAATTAGTTAAAGTTGGTCATTCGTTTGGCATTTATATACAACCTGAACTTGAAAAAGTCACCATTTCTGCTATTCAGTTTTATCACCGCTTAGTATTCATAGGCGGATCATATGTGTGTGTGTGTGTGTGGGGGGGGGGGGAGGGGGGGGGGTAAATTATAAATGGAATCACTGAAGCATGACTAGAGCGGACCCCTATATATTATAGGTTATAGTCAGTGCCCTTTTAAAAAAAATCTGGATCTGCCACTGTTTTAATTAATTGTTTGTAATTAACCAAAAAAAATATATTGAGACTTTTAAGTCGTATCGGGAGTCGTATACAATTGAATAAGAGGGAAAATGTATAAAGTAGAATTGCATTTAATATAAAAACTGTTGAACATGCACTTATAATTATTAACTATAAGCTAAATTGAGTAAAAATAGGTTGAAATATGAAAAAAAATATTGTCAATTAAATAAAAGAAACACAAAAATAAAAAAGGGGGTCCACTTCACCAGCGCTTATAACAATTTAGCTATTTCTTATTGTTTTTTAGTTTCTGTGTGTAACCACAGCCAGTGCCTTGATTTGAACATAAAAGAATCAACTTTTAAACAGCATTTTTCAACATATATACCTTCAACATTAAAGATTCAACCAAAATTCAGCAAACAGTGTACTTTCTGTAACCTAAATTCAACGTTGAAGAATCAACCTATATTAAACGTTGAAATAACATACTTTCTGTTACCTAAATTCAACGTTGAAGATTCAACCAAATCCAACGTTGAAACAACATACTTTCTGCAACCTAAACTCAACGTTGCTATTTCAACGTTGAAACAACGTTGAAACAACGTCATGACCAAACATCAACCATTTATCAACGTTGAAATGACGTTGAGTGCCGGGTGGGATGCCACCAGAAATGCACCAACTATGCACGAAGAATTTTACCTAAATTCGACTTGTCTATCTGACCTAAATTGCCACCAAATATGCACCAAAAATGTACCAACCTATTTATACATTATAAAATCCTACTTAAACTAACACATGCAAAAAGGCTATGACCTCTATGAAATTAGATACATTACACACTACTGATAAATATGATACAAAAATAAAATGTAAAAAGAATGAAATAAATGACTTTAACAGATAAGAGAATTATTACGTGGCATTGGTATTATGCAATAAAACTCAAGTTCTTGTGTAGTGCACCAATAAACTATTCATTTTACACCTGTGATTGTAAATAAGATGTACGTGTTATTCGCCTCACATTATGAAAGATACCCATAAATAATACGCTTAATCATTTACATCTCAACAAGGTTTGCTTTTAAATACAATACACATTACACAAAATTATTCATATTCTCTTACATTTCCTTTGTCATTGAAATCCTTTGTTCCTTCAAGAAAGTATAAAATGAACACATAATCTAAAATAGAAATACAGTTGGGATAAGTTCTAACATCTCTTTCAAACAGATAGAATAAACTGTCAATGAACAGCTCTGAACCATTTAAGATAGAACTGTCAAAACCTATTTTAGGGTAGAACTGTCAGAATCAGCTCTAAATGACAAGAACTGTTAGTTTATTTTGGTAAAACAGTTCTAATTGGGGTTTTTATAGCAGCTGGTAGTGATTCAGAAAAAGGGCAGATATCTGAATATTTCCTTGTCAGTCATCTTTAAGATCCAACAGATAGTAAAAAATATTTGCAGTCTTATAAGTCTGTTTTTGTTGTGTTATTTCTCCGTGTTTTTTTGTTAATGCTTTAATCAAAAACATGTGTGTTTGAAGTTATTATGCTTCATCTGCACTTGAAAATGTTTGTCAAATTCGTCCGTTATTGTTTCATCAGACGTACTTGTGATATATTGTCTTTTGAAAGATCATTATTCATTCGAGCACCATTATTTATTACAAATATATAAATGGATTACACGTTATCCATATGACATACGTTCCACCTGAGTGTATCTGACATATTAAAGTCTTGTGTATAAGAGAGTACCGGGATAATTGGTGTTTTAATATGGCGATTGAAAATCTCGTACAGCGTGACATTTTTTATGCACATGCCTAGCTTTGACATGGCGAATTCAACAAATGTAATAATCTGAATAGATTTCCACTTGCAAAGGTCGACAACGATGTTTAAGATTGACGCTACTCTGATGAAAACTTAACATGAGGTGAAACGGCCCATACACTGATGCTTTTTTTGCACACGATTTTGTATTGATCTCAACACTGCATACTAGAGCTCATCATTCACAAATCATGAGATATATATAATAAATAGTTCTTAAAAAGAAGGACCTAGATTTAGGATCCTTACGCAAATCAACAGGATGACAAGGCAAATATGTTACAGCTCTTTCGTCACTATTTTTAGCAACAGTGAGTGTGTAAGCTGTCTTTTTTAGATAAAAAAAAGTTTAATATGGTTGTTATCAAATATAACAAAATGATTTATATTATTAAATAGGAAACAAACATACCAAAATGTGTATTTGTGTTATATTTTAGAAAGTGTTACTATATTTGGCAAACTGTAATAATATTCATGCAGTTGTGTAGTTTATTCATGTTATATTTTCTACAAAGATTGCTCGTTTTAAATTTGTAATTGTGAATATTGATAAACAGTTTTTATTCCTGTATTGCTATGAATCTCATTGTATGACCAAACTCAGTAAAGACACGTCATTGTTACATTTGGTTAACACATTCAATAATACCTACCGTTATCTTGATGATATTTTTCGTCAAATAATCCAGAGTTCTCTAAATATACTACCGAAATTTACCCAAATGAACTTACTTTAAATTAATCTAACATAAACAGCAGTAGTTGTCCTTTTCTAGATTTAGACATTTCAATTTCTAAAGGGAAACTCCATACTAAAATTTACGACAAAAGAGACGATTGTTCATTCATAATTGTTAAATTTACTTTTTTAGACGGCGATGTTCATTTGGCTCCATCATACGGTGTCTATATATCCCAACTCGTTCGTTATGCCCGTGTGTATAGTGATGTCATAGAGATTGTTTTATAGAATGACCATAAACCCACTTATTCATGGTATGGCATCAATATTTCTGACCTGACACTACGTACTTTTAATGATAATTGCTTTATTCTTTAGAATTTAATTTGCAATGTTTCGGGTTCTTTCGGGAATACTCCCAGGTAAACCCTCATCAGAGGCCGACCTTTCATATCTTGATCTCTCATTCACCCACTCTATCTCATTCGCCCACTCCCACACTCTCTCATTCGCCCATTCTCTTTCATCCACTCACTCTTTCTCATTCATCCACTCTATCTCATTCGCCCACACCCACTCTCTCTCATTCGCCCACTCCCACTCTCTCCCATTCGCCCATTCTCTTTCATTCACTCACTCTCACATTCACCCACCCTCTCTCATTCGCCCATTCTCTTTAGTTCACTCACTCTCTCTCATTCACCCACTCTCTCTCTTATTCACACATAAACTTGAATGTCACCTTTCCATTGACATCACCCAGGGCTTTTTTACAACCCAACAGGTTATCACCATAGATGCAGTGTCTGGCTGAGGCAGCCAAATGTTCTAGTCCGCTGTGAGTTAACACAGTATATCCAGGAGAACACCACTGTCCACCAGTATCTGGGAAAGGTCGGCACC